TATATATATATAAGGCAAATATGGAGGAAGGATTTTGGACAGGTACGAGAAAAGTGATGCAATTAAAGAAACTATGGCAGCTTCTGCCTTCTTTTAAAGTTAAAAATTCAGTTACTGCTAGCATACCCACTAAAAAATGGAAGAGAAGAAGCTAAAGTGAAACAGAAAGAAGGGCGGAAAAGAAAAGGAAAAACATCTACAATTTTTGTTATCTGAATTGACTGGCTTGTGCAAAAATAAACTTTGCAGACAATACACAGACAATCGAATGAGTGATTAATTTCACTAAAAGGATTTGTTGGCTACGTTACCGCTGCAGACATCTAGGTTGACTTATTTCATAAAATTTTGTGAGAGCAGATTTTTAGACATTTCAATACATCATCTGTTTGATGTGCATTGACACATGTTTTCATCACTGGACAGCTAGTTACATAAGGAAAAAAAAAAACAAATAAATAAAAATAAAAACAAAAAAACCTGAAAGAACAATTATTTATATTAAAAAGTATGTGATAAGCAAACTGGCAGTAAAAATGGTACAGTCAAACCATTCAGCTGAAGAACGAACGAACGGATATAATAACCAATCGACTGACGAGCCGGCAAATGAAGGAACGGCCAAACTACTTAACTAATCAGCCAATCAGCCCACCTACCTCATCTTTTACCATTATTGTCGATGACAGTCCGAGATAGATTATGTATGTATATAAACATAGCAATGCATGATCTTATGAAAACTTTTTCTCACCAATTCTTTAAGTTTTATGCGTTAATTTAATTATTAAAACAGAAAACCAAATATTACCTGCTAAACTGCATAACAGAAAGAACAGTTTTTTTATTTTACTTGTTTTCTGTCACTTAATTTTGTTTCCTCTTCAGATACTTGACAAATAATATGTAGTTTTTACCAAATAACAGAAATTCCCATTGTTTGGAAATTTCAATTATCAAATCCCACAGCAGCGAAAACAGCACTTGCAGTAAGAGCGGCAAAGGCAGTGGCAACAGCTACAACAACAGTTCAGAAACGAGAAACAGCATCAAACACAATTGCCCTAGCGTTGCCCGGTTGTTATCTACAGCTGTG